AGAGCGAGACTCACGTTCGAGCCCCTAACGTCCCAAAAAAAAAAAAAAACGTCTACTGTAGTAAACTTGTCTTTTAGTGGCCTTTCATCTCCTGCATGTGACTATAATTTTTTTTTTTTCTTCCTTCATAACTTTATTAAATCAGCTTTCACACATTTCCTTCCCCATTACCTCAACCCACCAGAAAACTTTTTCTTTTCTAAACAGAGGACATTCACACACCCTTACTCCGCATTGTCAAGGGCAAATTATTGCATCCAATCATAGGACGCGGAGAATAGGTTCAGACATTCAATAAAAATTTGCCACGTCATCTGCGCTTTTGACTTGCGCTTTAGTTGTGTTTTAGTTGCGCTTTGACTGTGCTTTACCTGCGCTTTTGACTGCGCTTTGACCTACGCTTTACATGTGCTTTATATGTACTTTACCTGCGCTTTTGACTCGCTTAATTTAAAATAATATTTTATTAATATTCGGATCTATCTCCGCATCCGGTGACCGGATGCAATAATTTGCCATTGAGGCTCATTTAGCCCACTTAGCTTCTCACACTTTAGGCAATTTCCATCTCACCTGTTATTATCATTTCTCTTTAATTTTGTGACTTCATTTCGATGTGAATTGTTCTGTATTGTGTTTTAATTATTATTTCTTTTTATTTTATGTATTCTTATATATATTTGTGAGTGTGTAAAAAAAATGAAATGAAATAATGATGTGTTTAAAAAAAAAGAAATAAAAAGGGGAGAAAATAAATATAAAAAATGAGTGAGGGAAAAGATAACATATCTTTGTACATTTTGCCTCTCTCATCGCCGTCGCCAACGTCGCCAAAGGTATAACCCCTCCAAACTCAAAACCTCGAGAGCCGTTTTCGAAGTTCATGGCGCACCGGAAAACCGCTCATACAAGTCTTTAATGCGCATGATGGGATGGGACCCCGGTGCGACGCATACGACGATGCGGGTAATCACCTAAAGCCCTACTATGGCATTCGCGGTGCACCGGAAAACCGATTATACATGCCTTTATTGCGCGTGGTGGGATGGGAACCCGGTGCGACACTTACAGTGAGGCGGGGTTACTTATAATTACTATCGAGCGGGAGGAAAACCAACTGTCTTTTAAAACATGTACATTCAAAGACCCCATACACGCCTTTATTGCGCGTTGTGGGAATGAAGACCACAGCTGCAGTGTCTAAAGGCACCTACCATACACGCCTTTATTGTGTGTGGTGGAAAGGCCCAGACCCCTGTAGTTTTCCCCTAAACGGGGGAGACACCAGGAGGCTGTCAAAATTCCAGGTGGACATAAGGCCGCACTTTGACTTGATTGAACTCAAAGAACATGAATTGAGACTCAATTTGAACTCAAATGAATAAACTACAATGACTTGTATTTGAACACAAATCAAATGACTAATCAAGACTTGAACCTAAGTAAAATGAAATTGAATATGAACTTGGACTTGCAACAAATGACAACGAATTTGACTTTGACTCGAACATGATTTAAACTCAAAAGACCATAGGAGACTTTAATTTGGACTTGAGCTTGAACAACAGAACAAAGGATTATGCTTGGACTTGAACTCAACCAAGAAGAACTTGATTTGAACTTGTACTGTGGACTTGAACTAGGCTCAAGAAATTTTGAACTTCGAGCCTAAGCCAAGTGATAAGTTTGATCAAATAAATGAACATTAACAAATCAAATTGAAGATGTAAGAACTTGCTCATAGACTCATGATGAATGAAAAGAGAGTATATAACATGAGTGCATGTTATTCATCTTAATCATGGATGGCATATTTACAAAGAACATATGAAGAACATGAAATGAATAGCAAGGCTTCCCTCCAATCAATGGCAACCAGCTCGTAGATGAATATAGTAGTTATCTACAAACATAAAAAGTTGAAACATATAAGCATAGTAGGCTGCTAAGGAATGCGATGATTTGCTAACTAATGTGCACGAAGGGGATATGCTCCAGATATGATGAGTCTCCAATGCATATGGATACTCATGTGAGGTGTCATTCGTAAGAAATGACATAAGGAACTTTCAGATGCAGAACAATATACCTATGGGTGGCAATCAACGACATGCAGTGAATGTTATAACACTCCTACAATCAGCAATAATCCAGTGCTAAGCAAATATATTGGCTCCCTACAAGCAAGAGCAGTTGGTATGTGGCAAAGTGCAAATATTTACGGGGTCGTAGGAGACTCGTCATATGCACTATATCCCATTTGCAAGTAAACACTGGATGAAATATAACAAATGCAAGTATCCACAGGTCCTTGTGAGAGACTCGACATACACACTAAATGTTGTCCACAAGCAGAATGCCAAAAGGGTACAACAAAAGCAAGCTTCTATGAGTTGTTGTAAGAAACTCATCGTACACATAATGTGTTATCCACGAGCTCTTGCAGAAGACATGCTATATACATAAAACGTCATCTACGAACAACATGCAAAATGACTACAACAAATGCAAGCTCCTACAGGCTGCTGTAGGAGATCTACTCCATGCACTATGTATCATCTGTAAACAGAAATAAAAGACATTCAGCAAATGCAAGCGCTTATAGGCTGTTGTCGAAGGTTTGTTATACAGGCAATCCACTAGTAAATACAGAAGACTTCCAACATGTGCCAACATCTACAGCAAAAGCAGGAGATTCATTAGTGTATTACAATCCACCTACACAAAGCAAAAAGTAGTGCACGACAGTCTACCTGTACAATACAGCAAACAACTCAATCTTGAATATGTTACAACACGCCACCAGATCCACAATAATTATACAAGCGAACATAAGGCATGTACGAGCTTCCAAGTAAAGCATCGCATTAAAATAATCAATGATAAACATTCAAAAATGTCTCCCGCACATACACTATATTTTGTATACATATAGGTACACAAAAGGGGTAAGTGCAATCACAAAACCCGCATGAGCCTCGGCGAGCGTGTTGTTGGAACACACATGATGTCTAGGGATGATGCGCGAGTGAATAAATTTGAACCCGATCCTCCTAAGCAAGTAAATAGGAGTCGACAATGTTCAATAAATAATTATAAAATACCTCCAAACACCTGTATGGGCCCCGACGAGCATGTTATTGGTACACACGTGACGTCTAGGGATGCTGCACGGGTCAATAAGTGAACCCAAATTCGAGCATGATTCTCCTATGCAATCGCAAGGTCAGCCAGGATATTTATTTTAATACATTCATATTAGACCTTCAAGATCTCTAACAAAGAGAATTCATCAACAAATGTATAAAGCCTACGAAACACAATCCTCTGACGACAACTTGACGGAGTCGACAAGGTTTAATCAACAAAGGGAAATAACCCCTTTCACCCTGATGATGGCCGTGTTGAATAGAAAATCCAACCAGGTGGGTTAATTTCAAATATTTCAAAATGCCACCCAAAGTCCAAACTCCACAGAAATTCAAAAATCCAAAAATATTTTAAAAAATGGAAATCAACCATCAAATCAATTAAAACAAAATTCATCCATCATCCGCAACAGTTTACTGAGGTGGACAAATTGAAAACTACTTCAGCTCACATTGAGCTAAATGCCTAGTAAAAAACATCACTATGATCTATTCTCAAATAATCTTCTGTCATTAATGATGTGTTGTGTCCTCTAATGACGGTTTTACCGACAAATGGCACCGCAGGATAAACGGTTATGATCCAGAGCCATATGAACTGAGTAGTTTAGCCGCCAAATAGTACCACAAAATACCGGTTATGGCCGGAGCGAATACGTTCCTTAGTGGCATTAAATCCTTGAAATATGAATTAATATGATATGATCGATAGGGCACAAAGCCCTCTGTTAGCTAAGGTGAATTTAAATTTATCTTCTTAGACAAATACTCCTCCCAGGTCTACAAGATACCCTTGGAGGAAGCAACCCGTGGCTTCCGACAAGGATCCTTCTGTCAGGTTGGGTCGACTACCTCCTCTGACTAAGTAGACCAGGGACCACGATGACCCGGGACGACAAAAGCATGGGATCTTGATCGGGTCCATCATCCATTCCCCACCATCAGCATTAAGTGCAAGATGGTGAAATTTTTTATTTTAAATATAAACTCTTCAAATTTCAAACATCCAAATGTCCATCTTGCTACTATACACATGATACTACGTCTATGTATCTGATTGATGACTAGCCTTAATCGAAAGTTCTCTCTTGTTATTATGAGGGATATAGGGGCTTGCGCCTATAGGAAACAAGAACTCAAATCATAAAGTCCTCGCAAAATGATGGAGAAATCTCTGAGTAATGTCTTATCTACAAACCAATATGTCTTCCAAAATTTACCCCTGAACTTAATCCGTTAAAACTATCCCCCGAAAGAAAAAGCGCAGCGGGCAGAGGTCGGGGCCGAATTTTCGAAGCCCACATCTGACAAGTAAAAGGAAACCGTAATATGTGATATTATGAAAATAGAAAATGTGATAGCATGACTTTTGATTAACTCCTAATTTATTAATCCAACTTTTTTTTCTTAATTCTAATCCACCAAGCCAAGCCTTCCCAGCTTGATGCTAAGATTACATTTTTACAAAAGGTTCCTTGTACAGTTAATTCACCCACAAAAGAATCTCATGTAGGACTACTAAATATTTTACCAAGATGAAGTCTAAAAAAATTTCTCTTACAATTCAATGCTTCGTGAAACTATTAATATTAGAACAAGAACGGACTAGTCGCTTCAACCAATCCAAGCAATTGACCACCTGTCCAATTAGACCAAACAACAATCTTTAAGTTGACGCATGTTGCCCTGGCAAAAAATTGAACTTTGAACTGAAGAAGATCCGCCAGATTCCCCAACCTAATAGAATTTTCCATTAAACCTAACAATTTAGAAGTGTTATGAGAATTTGACAACTTAGCATGGCTCCTAACCAGCAAACTCGTATGTCACATGACACTACTCAAGCCCTTGCCTATTAGTTTTCCTCATTATCAACTGCTCGAGTTTTCTTCTCTTTTTAATAGGTTTTCATTACCACCATCGTTTCTCTCCTGAAATTCATTTACATTCACCTTCATCAGTCAGGAACAGCAAAACCATCGTATTTTGCTGAAAATTAGAGCCATTGCATTGTCCAATTTACTATCTACATAATTCCGTCACCAATGTCCACCTCTTTCTATTGTTTGATTACTGATCAAACCTTGAGGCGCAGCTTGAGGTTCTTCCAACAATGGGAAGGTGGTGTTGGATGCGGTTTACATTTTGGTTCGATGCATATAATTAGGATTGTTTTTTTTAATGCTCTGGATTTAGGTTATAATCTAGAATTATCCACAGAAAACAATAGTGAGTTTTGACAAAGAAGTCTTCAATTGAAATTCTAAAAATAGAAGAGCATACCAAATGACTGAAGGACAAACATTCTTTAACAAGAATCTAATGGCAATAAATATGCTAAAAATAATGGCAATGATAATAGAGTTATGATAATGAGTCAAATAAAGTTATGGGAGAGTAAAGTAACAAAGACCCGTAAAAAACAATGTTAATATCGAAAAATCACTTGTTTATAATAAGATTTATTATGGGTTTAATTTCTATGCCAAAAAATTAATGAAGTATAAAGAGCAATGAAGAAAGCTTCATATGAAAGAATTCTAATCTTGTATTAGGAACTACTTGATCTAATAATTAAATATTGATTGAATTAAATTTCTTAATAATCGGCTCCACTTTCTCCTCTTACTCTCTTACTCTTTCTCTAACTCTTGCCTTGTCCTCTATTCCTGTCAGCAATCATTGCTCTTTTCTTTTTCCATCTATTATTTAGCACTTCGTCAAAGATCCTAGAAAACAGAAACTAAGGGGCTCAAAGGTGCATTTCTGAGCTCTCATGACATTGAGGACTCGAGGATGATGAAGGGGCAATAGATGATAACTCTATGATTAGCATCCGGGAAACCCTATGGCCGAAGGAGAGGGAACATAGTTCGTAAATACCTTGTAAAAGAACAATGACAATAACTTAACAAGATGAATGGTATGAAAGCAGAAAACAAAGAACTTACCAACTTCCTAGCGAATTCGATCCGCCAACAGGAATAACATATGGTTTTCTCCCTTCACTTATTAATCGCTCTTTTAGTAAATCAGCGAGAGCCTACACAGAATGGGAAGCATCAAATAGTAAGTCTCAACCATAAAAATCATCAAGTAAAATGTAAGAGATATGAACCAACTCATGCATGAAAAAATCACTGCACAATTTAATATATTTCCTAGTAAGCTCATATATTAACAAAGTTCCAGATTATAACACAACATTACAAAGAGTGTGGAGACCGATAAAATGAATAAACATAGAACATGCAGGCAGGAATAATCTAAAAAATCAATTTAATCAGGAATAGTCGCCACTGTTACCAGTTCAATATAGTGTGAAACCAATCAACTAATCATTTGAGTCAATGAATGTATTCTCTGGATTGATGGCTTGTATAGAAAAGTTGCCTATTCCTGCATCCATATGAGTTGGGGCAATCCTGGCTTGGTTCCCTTTTTAACATACATTACGTGATAGTCCCTAATTTTTTGGGATTGACCAACTTGATCCATCAATACAAAAATCTTACATGCCTTCATCATAAATGGAACCATGAGACATGACAATGAAAAGAAAAATGTGTTAAAAAATTGATTCATTAGGTCCACTATTGTTGACCCTTATACGCAAAAGCGCACAAAACGAGGCGAATTTGACGCCCAACGCATCACTTGAAGGGTCAAACAACCTCTGATTGCCGAATGGAGTGCGCCGTTGCGATTGGAGTGTCGAATTCGCCTAAGAGAGGAACTCCTCGCAGTCAAATCAGACGAGATCAGTCAAAACGGATGACCGACAACCTAAATTGATGCGCGACATTGCCCAAATGACCTACAATCGCAAAACAGACTTCGCCGTTACGTTTGAAGCACCATCAACAACCAAAAATGACCATAAATTTGTTCAATAAAAATCGCGCAAGCAAATCACCGTGGAGATTGACCCATTCTACCGTTTCAAAATTTAATATTAACAATAATAACATGTTATTGTTATTATTATTAATTTGATTAATAAATAAAATCAAAATAAAAAAAATCAATTCTAATCCACTTACCTCGTATCAGCCGAGATCTTTATCAAATCTTCGAATTTTTCGCGAAATCCCACTAATAGCCCTGTTGATCGATGTCAAAACAGTCTGTATATCTCGTAGTGGCAATAGCTCGCCTCGATCAAATGTCACCCTCATCATTAGAACGAAGTCGAAGCTTCGTGTTCTATTCTTCGATTCTTCTTCGCACACGATAGCCCGATTCCTCCAACCGAATATCCAACTTCACAACCACAACCCAGATCCCAACCATATGCGATCTTGCTGCTAACAACCCCAATTAGGGGTGTCAATATTCGACAATACCAGAAAACCCGACCCATACCCGACCTACAAATTCCGGGTTCAGGTGGACCCGGTTAGAAAATGGGTTGGATAGGATTCAAATATCTGGCCCAATTTTAGTTTCGGGTCATGATAACCCGATTTTAACCCAATTTATTCATTAATATTACAAAATACTAGACTAGTTAAGGTATTTCGTCTTGCGTCTTTTGGCTTTCGAGTTTCACCTTTCTCTTCTTTGTTTCGCTCCATACCCTTGCCCTCGTTTCAGTCTGCATTCTTTGTGATTCAGTGCTTGTTGTAGGCTCGATTCCTCAAGAAATTAAGCTCCGAACGTAGGTGAAGAATTCAAGTCTCCTCCTCTCCCCTCGTAGTTAGGAATCCCCTGCAAACTTCAAATTTTGTCGGCATATATCGACAACTGGTGACCCTTTTGCATTTCGAGATAATGTAATAGTAGGATGATTGCTTGGCAAGATTTTTAGTCTTTATTACGAGTTTCCACATAATTTTTCATATTTGAGCTTCTCAAATGGAAACCCTAGATTCTATGTGCATGATTAGCAAACCCTAAAGATGATTTATCACTCCTTTATTCATTACTGATTTTTATTCATATATGATTATATGATTTACATCTTCGAAATCTCTTTGCTTGACGTTCGTCGTTTGTCGTTATATCAGTTCAGGCCGTCCGGCTGAGGGTAAAGATTTTAGGATTTTAGATTTTAGTTCATGTGGAGAAATTTGATTACCTACAAAGTTACACGCCCTTTTTTATATCAATGATCTGCAGCATTTGCGGGAGTGGGATTTTAGTACATGTCGTTTTCTTCTGTTTTTTTAGGGCTATTGGTGGTTCTCCATTTGTATACTATCTGTGGCAATTCTAATTTGATGATCCCTGAGTAGGTGCTTTTTGGTGTTTGTTTTTCCTGCTGGACCGCTGGTTGCTTGTTGGCATTATTGGCCTAAACCCCTAAATTTATACAATAGTTACAAGTTTTTAGTATACTTTACCTTGCCAAATTTCATTTATTTAATTGCAAATTAATTTTCCAAATTTCATATATCTAATTGCTTACAGGTCAAGTCGGGTTGACCCTAACCCAAAAGTGACCCAAAACCTAAATCGGGTCGGGTCAAAAACTGTCGGGTCAATGCCGGGTTTGACCAGAACCCAACCTGTAAACACGATTTGACACCCCTAACCCCAATTGCTTCCTCGCTCAATCACATGCACCGCATGGTACACGAGTATAGAAGTATATAAGGTAAAACCTAAGCTTTGACACATAATGCTAGTTGAAAGCAATCCAAGATACTGGGCACGTCATTGTAGCAAAAAAACTAATTGGGATCAAGAAGAGATATCATTGGTTCAGACTATCTGAATTTAAAAACATTTGGACTAGAAGTTTAGATACACTGGAATTTAGTTTAGGGCTAAATTCACGTATAAAAATGATAAGAAAAATAATGGTAGTCCACTAAAAAAGTAAGAAATGTTAAAGATAAAAACGCAGATCAAAAGAGAAAAAAAAAACATACCACACTGCCGATATTTGCATATTCTTCCTTTGAAACAAGTTCAACTTTTGCTCCAACTAATCTCTCAACAAGTAGATTGCCTGTTAGACCGGGATCTTTGTCCACCAGAGTCTGGAAAACATCATATAGAGAAATTTTATGGATGTTCTTGAATAGAAAGGTGGAAAATAGAATATAGCTATGTTGCATATAACTTAGAGGCAGAGGGAGGATGGTAAAGTTGGAGGAAAGGAGGGAGAGATGGAAAGAGAGAGAGAGAGAGAGATGGTTTAAATTACCTTGGAGGTTCGAAGAATTAGATAACAGTCTATATTCAGATATCTAGCAGCCACTGCAGTTGCACGACAGTGGTTGCTCTGAATGCCTCCAACCGTAATTACACAGTCTGCACCATGAGCCACTGCATCTGACAATAAGAATTCCAGCTTCCTAACTTTGTTGCCACTCAATTGCATTCCTGAAAGATCGTCACGCTATGTGTTTTGGATTTTCAGTTAGTCAAAAGTTATTATTAATGTAAAACATGGAATAAATAATGGAAATTTCTAATAACAATAATAAGGGCATATCAATAAATGATTGACCAAAAAAGAAAAGCTCAAAAATCCATTCAAACATGTACCTTTATCCAGATTTCTGTATCGTCAGGTAGATTAGGAACGTTCCATTTGTGAATTGGAGTAGGGAGCTGAAAGTAACAAAAACAAAATTTAGCAACAAAACACAATAATCAGCAAAACCTAAAACTCTGAAAATCATACGCAAGTTACAAAACCTACTTGATGCTCAAGTAAAATCATGAAGCTTTTGAGGTGTTCTGATTGCATACTATGTACGCTAAAATAAAGTTTAAAAGCCTATTGTCACGACCCGGCTCAGCTAGCCCGAATTAACAGGGCGGGAACAGAAAGTCATACGGTAACACATAAAATTTCACTCATAATCAAACATATACAAATGTTCATCCAAACTTCAATTATAAAAAAAGAGCCACTAAACATCAAACTTAAAAGTTGCAACAACATCAAAAATAATAATCTAAAACATAACAATACCTCAGAAAGTCCCCAATAAATAAAATTTCACATAGACTAACACTAGTCACATAAACAACCATAAAAACATGTCATCATGGGATCCTCTACGACGGTAGGTAATCGGTCTATCAGCCATCACTCTTTAGCAGTCTCTCCTGAAGAACATTCCCACAAGCAGGGGTGAGCCAACGTTCAACAAGTAACAGGCATTTAACATAAATTCATGAACAATAAAAAAATACAACATTAAGCACGAAATCTTTCATTCATAAAAATTATATAAATTAAAAGAAATCATACATGACATTTGATATGCATATACAGTATAACATTTTTCTTTTATTTTTCTTAAACTTTTTCCATTCTTCATAAACTTTTCCTTTAGTCATAACCTTTCTTTTATTTTTAAATGCATAAAATGCTTAATTATATAATTATACACCCATCCTGGAAGTACCAGTATTTTGTACTGATCAGGTACACAGCAAATTTTTTGCCAACCATTTCCTTTACTCCGAACAGTCCTTTACCATTTTTTCCCGAAGAGCCCTTTACCATTTTTGCCCCGAAGAGCCCTTTACTAGTAGGTACATCCGGATCATCATGCACATTCAATTATAATATTTATCATATAGGGATTAATTCACTCAGGAATTCATATATGTTTCAAAGTTCTCTTGTTTATCTAGATTTCAGTTAAAGGACATGCCATAAAAATATGAAATTACTCCTACAATCATATGCCTTATGTTTTGTTTTACAAGTTTAACTTTTCCCTTAAAAACATGTAACAACACCAAAAACATTCTACTACCTCAAAAAACATGTCATTGCTCTGAGAAGCATGCTCTGTCTAAGAAGCATACAAATAAATCATGTAATAACACCAAAAACATGCAAGCAATATGTTCAAATGCCTCGAGAAGATGTGAAAGTGCTTCATTCAAATACACCGAAAATGCTAAAGTGTATTGAAAGGCATGCAAATATACAATACAAATACACCGAAAAGCGTGCAAGAGCAACATGTAGGTTTCCTGAAAAGCGTATAACTATACCATGCCAATACATCTAAAACATACAAGTGCACAGTACAAACGTGTTCCAGACTATGAAAATACACTGAAAAACATCCAAGTATATTTATATTAAAATGCATGCAAATACACTATGTAAATGCACTGAAAGGTAGGTGCATTAAAAAAACACACAAATGCGCCATGCAAATGCAATAAAAAACATGCATGTCATATAGAAGAAAAATTAAATTCTTAAAATTAACTTACCCACATATGCTAAGATGAATTCATCAAACCTCTAAATTTGATATATGAGAATACTGCGCGAGTTAAAATAAAAAAGTATTTAAATACAACTCATCTCAAGAAGCATGGAAGCCTACTATGTAAGTGCACCAGAACTCATGCAAATACATCAAAAAAAAGTATAAGTGTGACATGCAAATGCACTGAGAAGTGTGCAAGTGCATCATGCATCTCCATCAAAAAACATGTATGAGCATCAAAGCCAAAATGTCCGCATGTTCTCCAACGAATGTGCTAAACATTCGAATTTCTTGTTTGAATGCTGCACTTATGAGAAATAAAGTAAATTCAATTATGGCCAGTCTTGAGAAGCATGCAACCACTTTAAAACACATGCAATTTATTTTTAAACCTCATAAACTTTTTTTTTAAATCAAAATCATCATTTTATAGCACACTCAAGCGAGCCCCCTTGCATATAGGACAAGTTCATAAGTCCCACTTTTGAATACAATCCTCCAACTCCCAAGATAGGAGTTGACAAAACTTCTACCTCTCAATAAATTACCGCAACACTTATTGAAACATAATTTTCTAACCAAGGAAGTTTGCAATCAAATATTCAATCCCAATACAATGATATTTTGTCTTACAAATGCAACTGCAAGTGTTATCCACAAACATGATCCTCTGTGAATAAGCTAGTTGCTAGCGTAGTTGATAAGGTCGAAAGCAACAAAAAAGACATTCAAAATCCCAATAATATTTGCATTGACAACAAACCTTAAACTAAAGGGAGTATGATTTTCATAATACTCCCAAATTTTAAAGTTAATCATTTGTGGTTTTAAATTTTGATACTTTAAAATTCAATATTTCCAAAATTCAAAATATTCAAGTAAAATATATCATACTAAAACTTAAAGTAAAATTCATCTATCATCAACAACCATTTGTCAAAGATGATAAATTTAATAAAAACCTCAGCACGCAAAGAGCTAATGTCTCTTAAAACTTATCACAATATGTTTAATCTCAAATGATCACTTGCTAGTAAAAAGCATGGCATGTGTCCTCTAACAAGTGATTTTATCGCCAAATGGCATTACAAATAAACATTTATGACTGGAGTCCTCTGATTAGGCAGTTTTAACACAAAATGTTATCATTGAATTATGGTCATGACAAAAGCTTGTCATCTCCTTAATAGGTCAAAAACCCTCGGCATCTATCCAGATATCAGAACAAAAAACAGTTCAGAAAAAACTTCCAGATGCAATTCATAGTAGTTATTCACAGAAATGACATAACCTTACCCTCAACGTACGTATGCACAGATTACCTGTAAACCAAGAATGCATTAAGTATCTAACTCTAACAGATAAATAGATTAGCTCATCCTAATGACCTCATTTTGTCTGGATAATCTCCGTTAATCATAATCCATCATCCTATTGTATTAGAATTAACTCTTTTCTGGGTTCTACAGATTAAAATGTAACATCCACACAACAAAAATAAAATTTTGATTAAGTTTCAGAATCATCATTCTCCACATTAAAAACTTGTTATCAGATTTAAGTATCAAATAAAGAGAAACAGCAGCAGAACCTCAAGTGAAGAAAGGAAGATTGACTCACATGTCCCAGAGAGTATATGTGAGTAGGAATAGGATTGAGATGGGAGACCCAGGAAGGAGGATTATAGGGCTTCTTCGCCAAGAATCCTCCCACTAGATCAATAGGCTTGGCTTCGCGGTCTTCCATTAGAACCGAGGATACGTAGTTTTTCTTCTTGTCAGGAGATGAAAACCGTGCAACTCTCGCACTGGAAGCCGAAGCAGCCCCAGAGACGAACAATCCCCGCAAGTGGAGGACGGAGCTCATCCTTCGTCTTCTTTCTCTAAAATGCCAACACTAAGTACAAAATTATTATTTTGCATTATCGGAGCCTTAAAAAAAATATACAAAATACTTATTTATTAGAATGTAATGACTCAACATCAATCATTTAAGCTTATTTTACCTATTTCCGCTGTAGTTAGAAACGTTTCATTTCGTCCTATTATTCGATTTACTTTTTTGAAATAATATTTAATTCATATAAAAGAAGGTTAAAATTTAAATATTTTATATGTTTTTATCCTCGTCAAATTCATTGACTAATTTAATTACTGAACAATTTACAAAAGAATAAAATGATTTTATTTTATAAAGTATAATAATTACTAAATTCATCAAAGCAGTTTCATATGGTAAAAAATTTGTTGTGCTCACTGCTCACACATATTTTCTTCATAATAAGCAGTCATCTTAATTTGCGTATCGCTCATCATCTGGAGCTTCAAGGCTTATAAAGTACAATGTTGAGTAACTATTTGAGACGGTTATATTTTTTTATAAAAATGATTATAAAGTTGGGAAAGTAAATTTTTTTTTTAACTTATTGTAAAAATAACTGCTTTTTTTTTTTAAATAACCCAAATAAAAATTGTTATTGCAAAAAATAAAATAATAAAAAAATTATCCCAAACAGCCGCTAAAAGACAATATACCAAAAGAAAAAAATAATAATGAAGTTTTGTGTGGGATAACTCTCTTACTCATTTGCTCTTCATAATACAATCATAATTTCAGATTGGCTATTATTTTTTTACTGCTTTCAAGAAAATTTTTGTACTAAAAAATTTATTTTTCAGAACAGCTTTCAAAAAAGTTATTTCCAAATAATAATTTTACAATCAAATTTATAAAAAAACTATAACTAGCTCAAACAATCCCAAAATTAAACTCTATAATAAAATCCTCTCACTCCCATTAAAAACACCGATCATGTTCATTGTCATGCGGCCACCAAACACCACAATGTAATGAAGTAGCATATATACAACCATACAAGCCAATACTTCGTACACAAGCAAGTAATATTACATGCACAATATTCTTAAATTGCACAACTGCTACAAATAAAGCTATGGCTTTATTTCCAAATTCATTTGCCCGAATAATATTTTTACATAACGCTTATAATTGGATTAAATATTATTAGGAAAGAGAGCACTTCCAATTAAGAGCAACTATAATAAACCATAAAATAATTATAAAACAATATAAAATAAAAAAAAAATTACTAAAATTGATTCCATTCAACTTTTAAATCTACATTCAATATCACACAAATATCACACAGAAATCAAACAATCTATTAAACTATAAAAAGAACAGACAAAGATTTACATTTGATATGAATTTAAAGATATGAACAAAAATATCATATTATCGAATTGACAGATACTAACCTTCTCTTCAACCAATTCAATTTCCATAAAAATATTCAGTTATCACAACAAATTAGTACTTCATCAAATAGAATGGGCAGGTATCATTACAGGTAACTATTAGTCATATTTGAGTTACATTGGCGATGTAAGAACCATTGCAGAACTTGAGCCGGCTCAAAGAAGCAGATAGCAAGCACGGCGCCAAAGCAGCTTCAGGAAGACCTAGAGCATCAGCACTGCCCGGCACCGAAGCATCAGAGTTTCCAAGCTGATCGGGCTTATTCTGACAGAAAAATTCAAGGGCAATATTTAACCCAGCCGACAATGGTTCTGTTGTGAAGCTGCAGGAAGATTTAAGAGGGATAAGCATCAAAATAACTAAGTGTAATACTCAAAGTTACAATGCCAATAAAACAACGGTCGTATACATTGATTCAAAAGTGTTTCCATTTATAGTCATTGCTGCAGACAGCCTGGAGATCACCCAAGGAGGTAGAACTGTATCTTTAACTTCTATACTGTAACATAAAGGGCTTTCAGATGAGCTTAGAGAAGCATTGGAGTCGATAAAGTTTTCAGCTTTTTTAATCTCCCTGCATTTCACCTGCACAGTGGTAGAAATGGACATTGTATCTTGATAGGTGTAGATTATACCAGCAATCCAGAATAACCGCGAGCTTACTTGTGGCAAAACATATCAGGATCAAAATGATGGAGACTGAAAAGCAGTGTTTTAAAAACCGGACCGGACCGAACCAGCTGGTTCGTCCGGCTTGACTGCGAACCAGTTCAAATGTTGGTCCGAAGTTGTTCAATTATAGGCGTATAGATTATACAAGCAATCCAGAATAATCTCACCTTCCGGTTCGTTGTCCGGTTCGGTTTTCACAACCTTGCCGAAAAGAGTTTGCTAGAAATCAATGAACAGCTAAACCATAAAAGTTACCTCTGGAATACAAAGAGAAGCATTAGGGAATGGAACAGGTGCGTATAATGCTGGTACATCATGACTATTTAAGGATTTCAGGAAAGACCTGTAAAATAGAACAAGAAAACTCGGTTTTCAATACAAAGGCTACCTAACAAATGCAAATCTAAAAAAGTGAGCTGTGAAAAGAAACACATTATTTATGCTTATATACTGAAGTAGACTAGAGAGGTTTTATATAAAAATGTAAGCTCCGCAAGGGATCCTTGATGAGATATTGACATGATGGGAGTTGGAGAAAGCAAACCAAATTAACTTAATTAAATTGAATAAACTAGTATTAAACTCATTGATGAAAGACACTCCTCTAAAGCGCAAGAAACTAGTGTTAAGCTCATTTCATTGCCATCCCAGTCACGACCATTTTTCTTGTTATTTAAAAATTATTTCCCATGCATTAAAAGGGCAAGGTGCTAGTTACCTATAGTTCAACAGAAAGTCATATAAACCATGGACGTTTGTGTTTCCAATAAATGCTAGGAGAGATTGAGGGCTATTGTCCACCCCAGAAATAGAATCTTGATGATACGCCTGCATAACATAAAAGCATTAACATTGTAAGCATACACTCAAACGCAAAATGGCTTGAACAAACAACCAAATAGATGACGAACAGAGAATAGGTCAAACCTGCCCCAGGTTTTGCTGTTCAATCTCTGATAGTTCAGCCAAATCAGCCTCATTAGCATGTTCAACTTCAACATGGCAAAGGGGCATGGAGAAACAAATACCCTGCATTCACAAAAAAAAAGGTGGGGTTGAAATTTGCATTTTGCATTGATTAAAAAGAAAGTACAAAAGCATGGATCCTATGCCTTCCCAAAACAAAAAAGCAAAAGGTGGGAAGGGCTATACTATGAAAGCAAAACTCCATACAAGTATGACTTTTAAAAATAAAAGCAAGGAAAAAAACAAGGACAAGCCCCTTTGATTCGCAAGGAGGCCCACCCCCAAAGCATGCCCTCGAAGATCCAGTGGTGCCTAAAGAACAACTCCAGCGGGGGGAGATACCTGAGAAAGGGTTCAACACGCCCGAAGGCGGAAAGATATCCCATTGCGCCGGCAGTCGGATAGGCACCACCTTCACCCTAAGGCATGGGTAAGGGTAAGGCATCATTGTTCCTCAAAGGGGACAAAGTCCCCGCCAGTGTCATCTTGTAAGTTCTTCCTCCTCTTGCGGGGAAGGGTGGCTATCGGCCCCAACTGAAGCAGCTGTTTTTCCATGAACGCCTTGGATGCCTTGTGTTGACGCTTGGTGAGATTCACTGCCAAAGAGGTAGTATCATGGCAAACCCGATCGGCATTGAACACCACCTGATGCTTCACGGCTTGGGGTTTGCTCGGGCTAACAATCCTATTGGAGATCTCCTCCATGTGTTTGAGATCTTCCCGTAAGTCAGGGGCGGGTTTGCAAGTCTCGGCTTTCTGCTTCGGGTTTGGTGGCGGTGGCTCTTGGCCATTCGGTGGCTGCATTCCCAGCTTGGCTTTGCCTTTCTTCTTCCGGGTCACCAAGTTCCAAGTCCCAAAGGACTTGTCTTCGGGTTCTTCACAAATGCTGGAGTCGTCCTGGCAATTGTTCGCCGGATTTGGAGATGGGACGGTCGGGGGTGGCCCCTCCGTTTGAGCTGCAGGGTGGCTGGGTTTGGAGGTAGCAGTGGGGGCCGGTCCTTGCTGAGGGGCCTTAGCCGAGCAGCTGCCTCTGGCATGCCCGATATAACCGCAATCGAAACAAAAATTTGTGAGCCCCTCGTATTCGACTTTTTGGAAAAACCGCCCGTGAATCCCGTTTATCCACACCCCCGGCACAAGCTGTTGGGACAAGTCAATCCGAACACAAATACAGGCAAACGATGACCGTCCCCAAGTACTCGTGTGGGAATCCATCCATAAGGGGTCCCCTAGCATGTTGGCAATACGCGTGATGTTGCTAATGACCCAATATATCAATGGCAATTGAGGAAGACGGATCCAAATGGGTGAGTGAAGGCCATGGAGTGAATTGGGAGAAGCAGAAGGAGTCCATCGATCCATACCAATAATATTACCACCAACAATCCATGGTCCTCCCGAGAGAACAGCGTCTCTTGCTTCCGCACTTTGAAACAAGCAAATGAACGAGTTGGGGGCGATGGTAACAATTTCAAAATCACCAAAGTGGAACCATCTCTTCTTGAGCTCGCTAAGGAGGTAGGTGAAAGCAATGCGACGCCCCATAACCTTGGCCACAATCGCACGATCAAGCTTCGCAATGTTGCTATGAACCGCCTCAAGCTCGGGTTCCACTGACTTGCCATCCTTGCCAAGGAAAGACCCTTTGTCTAATTTGGAGATTGGAACAAGCTGCACTTTGTTCCAAGCAAAGGGATTACAAGCTGCACTTGCGTGCGGCTGATTCCTGTCTAGGAGTGACTCTCGGTTCCTTGGGGGAAATACCACAAACACCTTGTGTGTGATCTTCAACTGCTCCATGAGAAGTGGCTGCCGAAACCTGGGCATGTTCACGCCTAATGCTATAGTCCAGATTCATCTCATTGCTGGTGGCATTCGAACCTCCCTACTCAAAGACGGGGTTGTCTTGAATTTCGGTGCAGTCCGCCCAAGCGGTGACATCCCGCACAGCTGGGCAAACCGCCGCCCCTAGAGCCTGCAGCTGTGACTCCGCCCTCTCAGCCAAGTCATCCTCCATGTCTGTTTGCTGGCCTGCCGATGCACCAGAATCCTCCATGTTGCTGGCCTCGCCCCCCTCACGGTCAGAGTCGGGACCTTCCTCCGAGCCAGTCGCCATCTCAGTGCTATCCCGGTGGCTAATGTCCTTGTCGTCCTCCATGTCGCTGGCCTCCAAACCCTCTTGTTCGGATCCCGCCGCTTGTTCATCATCCGAGCCGTGGCTGCTCGCACGAGGTGAGGCTCTGCCCGAGCTGCAGTTCCTGTCATCTTCGCCATGCCTTAAGACGTGGTCAGGGCGCTGGGCATTATTCCACGCCTTAGATGCCGGAGGGGAAATCCCAATAGAGCTCATGATAAGCTCTCTAACCGCCAATGGTTTCGAAACAGGGGAGGTAATTCCCAGCTCAAACTTACCTTTGTGTGGGGTGAACTTGGTGGCCGGCTCCACCTCCATAGAAGCAGCACCGGAACTCTTAGTCCCCACCATCTTGACCAAACCTTGGTCATTTTCCTTCCCCGGTCGTGAGAAGCTCGCAGCCTTCTTTCCTTTCTCCTCCCGAGCTCCATGGGGAGCCGTCCCTTTGCTTGGGTTTGCCGAAAACCGGCCTTGTCCCGGTGAACTAGCCGCACTAGCCGCCCGACTAGCAGCTTCCGCCGGCTCACCACCGCCGGCCTCCTCGTCGACAAGAACCTGCCAGCGATTTCCGAACTTCCCCTCCTTGCCGCAACTTCTTCCACCAAACCCCCCATTTGGAGAAGGTGACCTAAGGCCACCCCCTCTAGCCATCCCAGAGTCTCTCTCTCTAAAACCACTCTAGTGAGAGAAAGAAAATGGAACAAATGAAGAGCCTAAAAAAAAAAGGTGGGGAAAGGGATTAACAACTTGATGTTGCACACATGTATAATAGATTCATGATTCAAGAACCACATTTAAGAAATTTATCAAAAAGGAATTCCATTTCGAGTATAATATTTTTTTCAAGTTAAGCAATCCTGGCTTGAAGACTTGAGAATTTGACTTGATGCATTGGCATATTATGAGTAAAAGAGATTCCTGCCAAGTGCCAACTATGAAATCTGAGAAAGTGTTGATTATAGGAACTTACTCTTGCATTGCGATAATTTGTTTTTTGGATTTGCACTGGTGATCTCCAAATCATAATGCATAGAATTTCTTTTAATTTAAAAAAATTGACCCAGCAAGCTTTTACACACAAGCATAAGCATCAGACAATGTAAACCATCCAATAAAATAGTTTAAAAAAAGCGCTATCACTTCCTTTAGGCTTCAATAATTGTTTCAACGCCCAGTATACTTTCGCAACAATTTATATAAACTGGCATTTATATTTGTTTTACTTGGACAATCTTTGAGTATGTTTACAACTAGCAGGGAACTGTAGAAAAACATTTCAAAATACTATGAAAGAAAATGTAAAATAGTAAATGTAGTAAACTACTATGTAACTTTCACAAAAAGAAAAAAACTACATATGAAACCAACTATCTATTTCTGAAATATCCAGAACATCAAGAGACCAGTTTGATGTTAATTTTTCACATCTCTGTATAGCGATTAAAGCTTCCCAAAATTCAAGAAAAACCTTTTTTAAATATATATATATATATATATATATATATATATAGAGAGAGAGAGAGAGAGAGAGAGAGAGAGATAAATGATAGAGAGAGAGAAATGATATCTTTGACATCTCTCCTTACAACAAGGGAAAAAAAGCAAACTTAACGAACTTACATGGTTTCTGAGCAAGGATCTCAAACTACGAGTAGATTGTGAAAGATAGGCATTGCATGATTGTCTCTTTCCCAAAGACTTGTTGCAAATGAATAATACGATGAACTGTAAGGTATAAACTGCATGTTTAACCAAGGAAAACAAAAATCAGCATATGCAAGGAAGACGCATCAAAAAGCAGGAAGAAAGAATAGAGAACAATAAAAAAGGTAAAGATGTACATTCCGTAAGCTTAATTAGAACAATATCCATTATATGTTTTTTAAGGTCTTGTCTAATAACTCTCAACCATCGCATCTCCATGAACATCATAAACCTCAACTAATTGTAGTTAATTTTGTGTTTGGGTTTTTTAGAACAATATAATACATCACTGCCCACAACAGATGTCCTCTGCTAGACCCAGTTAAGCTGCATACAAAAAGCTCATAAATAGTATGAAGTTCGCTAGATATCTGCTTCGAATTTAACCTTTAGGCAAGTGAGATGCCTCGCAATATTTTCAAATATTTCACTTTTCATTCCATGCCACCAAATTTTTTTCTAAAAATCTCTGTACCTCTCGGTTTCTCCTTGGTAGATGCATTATGTTGATATGCAGGCTTCTGAAATTTCCCCAAATTTGAGTGATTGAAGATGCAAAATTGGAAAGACCAAAGTCAATGGGCGACGGAAGTCGGAAAGATCATAGTCTGATAACAGAGGTCGGATGGACCATAATCGGTGGGCGATAGTAGTCAGAAAGACCGTTGTCAGGCGAGAGAGGTCGGAAGGACCGTAGTTTGGCAACAGAGGTCGGAAGGACCGTAATCAAGCGACGGAGGTCGGAAGGACCGTCGTCGGCAGGCGACAATGGTCAGAATGACCGTTGTCTAGCGAAGGAGGTCAGAAGGATCGTAGCCAACGGACGATGGAGGTCAAAAAGACCGTCGTCAGGTGACGGAAGTCAGAAAGATCATTGTCGGTAGCCGTGTGGAAGTCCGGCGTCAGTCGGTGGCTGGGCCAAAATCCGGCGTTAGTTAATGGCTGGGCAGAAGTCCAGCTTCAGTCGGTGGCCGGGAAGAAATCCGGCATAAGTCGGTGGCCGGCCAGAAGCCTGGCGATAGTCTAGCGACGGTGGTCTGACGGTGGTCGAGGAGTCTGGTGGCAAGATAACTCTAGTTTCTCTCTCTTACTTCTTTTCCCTCCTTCAGTCCCCTTCCATCCACTGCACCTTTTTGATACCAAACTCAAGCCTTCCAAGTGCCACCCCTAATTCTTGTATTAGTTTTTGGAGTTCCAAGTCTTATTCTTACTTTATTTTAATTTAAGATGGTACAATGAATAATGAAATGTATTATATCCAATAAACGGATAAACAAATCAAGACTTAAACCTCATCTTATATGTCATCGTGGCAAGCTCAACTTATTAAGTGAGCAAGTTGCTACTGTGCAAACACAGCTTTTGCCAAATGCAACAACCTCCATATAAACTACTTCAAAATGGTCGATGAGGTAATGTTACGGTCTATCATTAGTTCTAACCATCATAGCCCCACTATTTAATTTATTTGTAAATATGAATATGTTCAATTTCTAATAAAAGATGTATGCATCATAATTGCCACCTTATAAGTAAAATGTCAAATTTTTCAATGAAAATAAAAACATATCAATAGAAGATAGCAGCAGGATAATTCAAGAGCCCGGTTTCTAACCTCCATCACACTAATCCTTTCCTCAAAAGCATCATTATGGATCACAAAATCCTTGTTAAATAATTGAACATTTCCCTTAGCAATCTACATTGTTCACAACATTTTTTACACTCAAATTCCATAGCTTTTCTAGTTAGCTTAGCAAGGGGTGAGCTATTCCGGATAATCAACCCATTAACATTAAAGATAATACAAGTCAAATCCCAAAAAAGTCTACTGTCATTCTCAGTCATTGCATCAAGATTGATGTAGACAAAAGCGGGGTCAACCCATGTCCAAAATAATATGAATTTCGGCTTCCCTTGAGTCTACTAGCTCAAATAAATTTGAGCTGAAATTTTAGCTCATTTATGAGCTGGTCTTTAGTTCACTTATTGAACTAAGGGTTAGCTCATTATTAGCTAACATTTCAGTTCATTTATTATCTTACTTTTTATGCTTTTTATGCTTTAATTATGCAGGTCTCTTGGAACTCCAAACCGGCCTTTAGAATTCCAAGAATTTGCTTTTCCCATGAGGTGACTCCTTGGTTTCCTCCATGGCTTATTGTTTTTTGTGCTTTTCCTCTTGGAATTCCGGCTGGCCGCTGGTTTTCCCGTGCCTGGGCTCTTTCCCGAGGCCATGGCCCCTTGGTTCCGTGCGGCCTCCTTGTTTCCCGCGGTGACTACTTCAGTTCCTGGTTTGGGTTGATTTCCGTAAGCATGGGGAAGGATTTCTATGCTTATGGTGCTTTGTTTCTTGTGTTAAAATTAATGTAATGTGTCTCTTTGTATTCCCTTTCATACCTATATATATGGGGGATTGTTTATATTTGAAAGAAAGTTGAATGAAGTTATGAAAATGTTATTTTTGGAAAAGCTATAACCTGCGGGTTTGCTTTGGAAATCATGCGGGCTCTTTCCACCCTTCTTTCTCATCCCCTCTGGAAATCCTGCGGGCTCTTTCCAACCTTTCTTCTCGGGCTTCTAACCTCTTTCGTCTCTCCGCAAGTGCCACTCCACCTGTATCCTTCTTCTCTAAGTGAAGCAACTTTAGGGTGTTTTTTTATTTTATTTGGAGTCGTTTGTAAGAGTTTAAGTTGTTTATTTATGTCAATTTTGAAATGTAAGAGTTTGTTCTCTTCTCTCTTCTCATCTTGAATTTCGACTAAAGTCGGGTCTTTTTTCGTTTTTTGTGTCGTTCGCATTCTCTCTTGTGCGGGCGAGGGGTATAGGCTCCCTATATTTCTTGCCCCCACCAATTTGGTATCAGAGCAAGTTAGGAAGTCCTAGGTTTGTGGTTTGTCAAATTTGTTTTAGTTGTCAAGTAAGTTTGTTAAGTTTGTCAAAGAGTCTTATTTTGAGTCTAAGTTTAGGTTGAAAATTTTTTGAGTCTTTTTTGAGTCTGTCAAAAAATGAAAAATGCCAAAAATATGGCTACATTCAAGGAAGAAAGCGATCAACATAATCCTGATGTCCCACCTCCATTGGACAGATGGTTACCTACAGAAGGAGATTTTACTGACCCACTTCAAGATCGTTTATACAAGCTTCAGTATCACATGTTCCTATGTGATCAAAAATTTGAGAAGTACAAAAGATATCTGCAACAGCAATTTGAAAAAGAACAGGAAGAAATTTTGAAGAGATTTGGCGAGAAACTCAAAGAGCTGGATGATCACTATTTACCTCCTCAAGGGAATCAACAAGAACCAATTCATCAGGAGCTGAATTCGCAAGAAGGGGAGTCTGATGTAGACAAAAGGGGGGTCAACCCATGTCCAAAAGAATATGAATTTTGGCTTCCCTTGAGTCTACTAGCTCAAATAAATTTGAGCTGAAATTTTAGCTCATTTATGAGCTGGTCTTTAGTTCACTTATTGAACTAAGGGTTAACTCATTATTAGCTAACATTTTAGTTCATTTATTATCTTACTTTTTATGCTTTTTATGTTTTAATAATGTAGGTCTCTTGGAATTCCAAACCGGCCTTTGGAATTTCAAACCGGCCTTTGGAATTCCAAGAATTTGCTTTTCCCATGAGGTGACTCCTTGGTTTCCTCCATGGCTTATTGTTTTTTGTGCTTTGCCTCTTGGAATTCCGGCTGGCCGCTGGTTTTCCCGTGCCTGGGCTCTTTCCTGAGGCCATGGCCCCTTGGTTCCGTGCGGCCTCCTTGCTTCCCACGGTGACTGCTTCGGTTCCTGGTTTGGGTTGATTACCATAAGTCGGGTCTTTTTTCGTTTTTTGTGTCGTTCGCATTCTCTCTTGTGCGGGCGAGGGGTATAGGCTCCCTATATTTCTTGCCCCCACCAAAGATTTGCATAGCTAATCAAAAGTCATGCACTGCTGACATGTACCAGAAGCACTACAAAATCAAACTGAATTTCAAACGTTCAAATTTAGAGTATAAGAAATAGAAATGATTTCTCGATGGACAACATTAAAATATGCAAGTATTGAGTAAGTCTATTCACATCAGGAACAACTTGATAAAGATCATACCTAGTTCAATATGATATATTTGGTATGTCTTGATCATTAGTCTAATATACTAGCGCAATGTTGTATCAAACTGTTGCAAATGACTTTGCTCAACATCATGTAGCCTACAAACATATCAATCACCATTCTTTTAAACCAAAAAATACTGCTCTATTAAAGTGCTAATCCAATAAAGCCGCCCAATTGTCAAGCAACTATAGTTCCATAGTTCTCATTTGTAAATAAATATTATGTATGCTCCTTAATAGATATACTTATAGTGCCCATAAGTTAAATAGCATAATAAACCTCAAAATCTAGAGCAATCCTAAATATTCTTCTAGAAAGAGCCAGCAAACTAACATGTCAATTGTACCAATTACAGTCCCATTTTTGTTATAAAGATAGTTCATCTTTCCGGAACAAAGTTAATACAAAAATTTTTGTTTTGATCTGTCAACTCCCTAATATAAAAGTAGCAAAAAGCCAAACATATGAAGATCAACATTACATCCCACATCATCATCTTTTTCCTCATATCCAATGGACTGTGGTTTTGACATAAAAGATTGACACTTTTAAATTTTAGTGTGCCCCAAAACATCATTGCTTATTGATGCACGTCATGGAAAAACAGAGATACCCGAAATGTTTGCTTTCTTCTAACCGATGAGACTCAAATGAGGGTGACAAAATTTAGCCCGTCTCCAATAACCGGAGTAACGTTCTAGGCATGTCAAAGGCATCAAAATTATGAAACGACTATGCTGATCCCCTGCCCAATAATATAAGCAATCTTTGAGTTTCAGCCCAGCACAATCGTTCGTGTAAAAGAAATATCTTCCTGAACCAGATCAAAGATTAACATATAGAGGCAAAATTTTGTTTGGATCAAATTTTGCAAGTGAAGAGGTCTTCAAACTCTGGCCAAAACAAAAATAAATGGTGCAGAGGGTGGTCTTAATTCCCAGTAGAATCAAACACCATTGGTCATGAGTCATCAGACTAATTAGATCAAAGACTAATGACCTTTTCACTAATTGAATCTAAAATAAAAAATTATTCAAATATTTTACTCATGCATTTGTGTGTGAAGGAGATACCAAGTGTGAAGTTGGAATGTGGAAAGTTGATTCGAAGAGTGAGAATGTGGAGCAAATCAAAGGCTGCAGGGATTACAGGCTGAGGAGATCAACAAAGGGATGTGACCAAAGTGCTTGTCAATTGGGTGGGACAACTCGAATGATGAAGGCACGGTGGGAGGTGGTTCATGCAGAAAAATCAAGCAAATGTAGCTTGAAGTGGCATTAACGCCATCTGAGTCTGAACACCTAACTACAGTGACTCAATAAGGTTGGGAAAGGAAAAGTTGAGCGTCCCATGAGGAAAGATTTCAAGGAGAGGAAGCAAAATTTCATGGGTAAGGAGAATGTAGGGAACAAGAGCAAAATGAGGGGGTGAAGCCTGACGTGTAAGATCGAAGAGGGTGTGTGACCTGTGATGTAGAAGAGCTACACATGTGAATGATATATCCTTTTTTTAAAAACAAATACAAATTTTATCCCAAAGCAATAAATATAAACATTAAATATCAACCTTAAGCAAACACAAAATTAAAAGATTATACAAAAGATAAACTATTGCACCATAATCACAAGCAAATCATTATAGTTCTACAGATCAATAACAATATTTAAAGAAACAATTTGCATACCATAAAACATGCTACAAATTTTCTTCCGAAGCATGTAGTAGAGGTTTCGAAATGAATCCTCCCAATCTTGTTGTCTTCTCAATAAAAAATCTTCTTCTACATCACAAAAAATATTTTACATATCATTATAGCAACTAAACCAGAAAGACAAAAAGCTCCAAGTGACGTGAAAACCTCCTTTTGTAGCAGATAAAGTCATTGCAATAACTATGGAAGAAGGCAATGAAGATTGTGGGAATGCCCAAGAATGTATAGCTTTAGAAAACATGACTTCAGCAGTTGTACTATGTCCTGATGTACAGGCAGATTGTTGATCCATGTTGGAAACATATTTAGAAGCATGCTGCTCAATTTCAAAAAAAGAAGGCGTTGCATTTACCCTGTGACACCTAAAAAGAGATTGGCAGTTAGATGAGAAAATCCATTAAGATTTCGACAATAAGATGGAAAATGAAAAAACAGTTGAGGGGCAATATTAGTAATACCAAATTAGTTATTTTGAAGGAAAAGGAAGCTCAAGCAAAACTACAATAAGAAAAAAAGTTTATTTATGATCATTTCTAGAGAGTACTTTAAACAAAAGATAATATAAAACATCATATAGTCGCATTTCTAATCATACTGTGAAATTAAGTTGAATGATCATCTGATGCAGGATATTTTAGGGCCCAGGTTTTCTAATGTAAAATAATATAAAAATTAAAGCTTAATTAAATAAAAAGATGGATGACGTTTATTTGATAGATTTTCCAGAAAATGTGCATATACTTTAATGCAAACAATGCAAGAATAAGCAAATAAATCTCACAAAGAAGAAAACTACCTGACATTAAAAAAAATTGTAACCAAAGATTTTGAACAACATGAAAAAGAATTCATTGTTAATGAAAAATCTTTGATACTCGACAGAAATTAACCTTAAGAAACAAGGATAATGAAAATCATAGTAAACTTCAAACATCATGCACAAATAAATGAAGTTCAAACATTTAGCAAAACTAAACATACAGCGATAAAAGAATCAATCAATCACTAATTAAAAGAAAGAAAAGAAGAAAAAAACTAAAATAAACAAAAAGCCTCTCGCTTGTATAAATACATCATTCTATCAGAATATTTAATGTCTCAAACTTAACTAAGGAATAAAACCCCAAAAGAATGAAGAAAGGCTTCAGATCAACAAAACTTAAATTTTAATCAAGTCAAATTTGTTTATTATAGCCTAAAAAACACCCTTATTTACATAATTTTACTAAAATAAATAATTAGGAAGAAAAAAATTCAATCAAAGAATTTAGCCGCTAGAAAATTCTAAGTAGACCGCCAGCCAAATAGAGTAAGATATTATAGTCTTGGACAAGATTTAGTCCAAAGATAAGGAAAAATTCATAGAATCCTAGAAATCCACATAAGACTAATTTGTAGTTTGTTATAGTCCTGAGGAAACATTAGTCCCTATAAATATAATCATTTGCAGTAAAGGAATAGTAGGACAAGCTACAGTCAGGATTCTCATCATCATGCAAGACTTGCCAAATAGCCAATCAAGGCTAAATAAAAATTGGATAAGATTTAATGAGACAAAGTAAGAAAAGGAGGAGAAATTAAATAAAAACTAGTAATATTGTGTTACCCCCCTCCACAGACCTAAAATAGTTTTCTTAACAGCTGAGTTGGGAAGAAGATATTGGAAGCAACATAATCACATGGGGATTATTAAGCTCCACAAACCCCCCCCCCCGGGCCCAAAAAAATCCCACTCTCTATCTTGTTTTAGTGCCTGAACATCAAGATTTTGGACTGTGGAGTAGAGCAACATAGTATTTTTACATTTAACGAAAAAAGATCTTCTAACTACATTAAATTTCCCAAAAAGCAACTTAAATGGGACCCCATGACAAGTGGACTACTAGATCATGTTGGATTGTGGTGGGAAGTGGATGCAATTTCAACAAAACCAGAGAATGGCACAAGAAATTTAAGAAGAAGAACACACAAGAACTCTTTTTTATTGAAAGAACTAAGAATAAAAACACAATATACAATTAGATCTTCAATTGGAGAGGAAGATCCGGCTCTCCTAAATCCCTAGCCGTCAGCTAGAGCCCACTCAACATAAGCAAAACTAATTCCAGCAAAATCAAACATAATATGAAATCACCCCATAATTAGTATTAAATAGGCTCCCCTAATTCCCTTCCAAATCAGTCTGCTTTCTCAAAATAATTCCCTCTCATATTTGAATTCAAATTAAATCTCTTTCCCTAATTAATTCTCTCCAATTGTAATTAAAACATTCTTAAATAATTCACCCTTGATTCATCCTTACATAATGAATATTAACTCCCCTGGACTTTCCCTAAATAATGCTCTCTCAAATTTGAATTTAAGTTAGATTTCTTTCCCAAATTAATTCCCTCCGAATTGTAATTAAATTTTTTCTAAACAATTCCCCCTCTCTCTTCTTACCAGCCGCCCAACCTAATGGGGCCCATTGGCTCATCCATTGGTCCATCAATACTCCCTTCTCAAAGAGCCACCTTGTTCTTAAGGTGGAACGAAGGAAACTGTTACTAAAGCACTGGACTAATAGCAATGGACTAGAAAATAGACTGACATTGGATCGAACAATCCATGCCTCGAGCATCTTCTTGATCAATCTCTCAATCTCTTCATTCTGAATTTGGCATGACGATACAAACGAACACTGATAAGTAAGACTCCTTCCTTAAAGATGATATCATGCTCGTGTTCCTGCAGATGAGGCAACTCCTGAACTGGTTGGAACACCCCTCAATACTGTTGTAGGGATGGTTGAATCATGTATGGTGCTTCTATCTTCTCCCCATCTTTTTCTCCTTCTAAACTCTACAACTCCACCAAAAATCACACTCCTTCACCCTTTCCCCTCCTTAGAAATGACTCCAAAGGTGGCATCTCCTCTTCTTCCCCTAATATTTTCCACCTCTTGATCTTCCCCTCTTCTTATGAAATTGAAGTTTCCTCCACTCCCCTGGCCGACGACGATGTTGTTTTGGTTTGGATCTCAAGTATCTTCCTGATCATCTCCTCCATTATGGAAAACTCCACATCTTCTTATGAATGACTGAATTTTGACTTTGAAAATATGAAATTTTAGATTTCGATTATTTAATCTCCCCTTCCAACACTTCTACTTTTCTTCCTGCCATAGATACCAGGATCTATGCTCTGATACTATTTTGATAGGAAGTAGATGCAACTTCAGCAAAACCAAAGAACGGCACAATAACTCCTTTTTATAGAAAGAACTAAGAAGAAAAATACAATATATAGTTGGATCTTCAATTAAACAGGAAGATTTGGCTCTCCAAAATCCCTAGCCATTGGCTAGAGCCCACTCTACCTAAGCAAAACTAATTCTAGCAAAATCAAGCATAATCTGAAATCACCCCATAGTTAGTGTTAAATAGGCTCCCCTAATTCCCTCCCAAATCAGCCGCTTTCCCTAAATCATTCCCTCTCATATTTGAATTCAAATTAGATCACTTATCCAAATTAATTCCCTTCCAATTGTAATTAAAACTTTGCTAAACAATTCCCCTTTGATTCCTCCTTACATAATAAATATCCCATGGGCTTTCCCAAAATAATTCCCTCACAAATTTAAATTCAAATTAGATTTTTTCCCTAATTAATTCCCTCCCAATTATAATCAAAACTTTCATAAACAATTCTCCCTCTCTTTTCTAGCTATCGCCTACCCAAGTCAGGCCCATCGGTTCAACCATTGGTCCATCATATTGCTAAAAATTTCTTGTGCAAAATCTTGAAAAACAACATTAAAATCTTAAAAAACAACATAATTAATGCAATGTACACTCTGAAATCACATGAATTGCATCATTCAACTTGTATAAGACAAGGTTTTGTCTGTCCATAGACTATAATCATATGATTTGTATACAACACAAGCATAAATAACACATCCTTAAAAATAAATCTTTGGTTCACATGAAACATATCATTAAATTATATATGTATTTGCATGTTTATTTTGCATCTCATATTTCCAAAGAACATACTACGTTCCTAAATAATGCATCATAAGTTCAATTCAAAAAGAAACTATAGCATATGTTTGGCTGTTATTAACATAAAGATGATAGAATAAATGACTTTAACAAAACAGGACGAGATCATAGGCAACCCACAACCTCAAGCATGAGCATGAGTAAAAAGATGCCTCAAGCTTTGTCCCCCCTTTTCAGAAACAAAAGAGGGAGCCTCATGCAGCATGATTAAATTAAGGGAATAGAAGGAATAATCCATAGAAGAAACAAAAGAAGGCAAGGTAAATTCTAAAACCACCCCCACCCTCTCCTCCCACACACACACATGCACGCGCACACATGTGCACGCTTACTCACACACGCGACATACACACACACAAGCATTAGAATTAATATTTACCTTCCCCTCGGGGTATTTGAAGTTGTTTCAAGCAAAGGACAATTTGTTACTCTTTGACAATTCAAAAGCTAGAAGGAGACTTCGTCTTTTAGATTCAGGCTGGACTGAAAATGCCCATAGATTAAGGATGTTTTGGTAAGTAATTAGATGTAATAAAATCCTATATAAACTGCTGATGACCATAATAACTTAATGGATGATGCTTGTCTTGACTATCCAGATCTAATTCAAAGAGAGTTATCTTGAGCTTATGAGGACCAATCAAACCTTTTATAAGTTGCTGAGTATTGGTTGAAGTCAAACTTTTATTGAAGGCGGAATTCAATTATTTTTTTAAAGGAACAATTGGACCCTAATCATGTATAGCTCAATGGTGCACTACTTGATTTGGGGTCACTGAATTAACTCTTTGGACTTAATATAAACCTTTCAAGGTTGTTATACAATCATACCAAAGGAGTATAGTTTAGCTTAGGGAGGCAAACGAGTTGAGTCGAGCTCGAGTTTGGGCTAACTTGAGCTCGACTTGTCAACTCAAAGAGAAGCTCGAACTCAATCTTGTGCTTGGCTCGTCGGAGTTACAGCGGGCTCAAGCTCGACTCACGAGCTTGACTCACCAGAGAAGGAAATCATTATGTCTAGTTGCCGAAGACAGCTGGCTCGAGCTCGAATCATGAGCATGGCACACCGGATGAGGTCAAGAAGTTCAAACCATCAGCTTGGCTCATTGGAGAAAAGAGAAAGTGAGGACGTCGGGTCGCCGAAGTTACGCTGTGGTAGAACTCGAGAGTCCGACAGAAAAATTAACGAGCTCAACAACAGCCCAATAAAGGAGAAGAGGAATAAGAGCAGATTTTTTTGGGAGACGAGTAAGTGCAGATTGTTTGAAAAAAAAAACAAACTTTGGAAAGTTCAAAATTTGTTGTCAAGTCACCAG